AAAAACTAAGGAAAGAACTAAGGAGACTCAGGAATTAGCATCTTCGTCCTGCTGGCGTTCATGGGCCTTAGCTTGGGCACGCCCAGCCCACAAAATAACCAACAAACACTACTTGTAACTAGTACGCCGAAAGGTGTATAATAGCGCCGAAAGGTGCAACTCATCTTCTTTTTCTTTAGGAATCGTTGGGCTCAACTTCCAGTGTCGGCTATTCAATTTTCCGACACTGGCTAAATAGGACTAAATAGGATTTTTGTGTGTGTGTGTTGCCAGTTCTGGTCTTTTCCAGAACTGGGTGTGTGTTGTGTGTATTACTTCCAGTGTCGGCTATTAAAATGCGACACTGGCTAAATAGGATTTTTGTGCGTGTTGCCAGTTCTGGTCTTTTCCAGAACTGGGTGTGTGATGTGTGCATGGCATGCGCACACCCAGCTCACAGCACCCAGCACCGGCACCCGGCACAGTTGACAAGAGCACGTCAGGCACACAGGAAATCTATTTTTCTAGAATTTTATCCAGCTATATTGTGCGAACATGTTTACCCAAGTGGCGCTGAATATTTTTTACGGTCCTACGTACGGCCCAGGGTTGGCACTGACATTTTTCCAGGAGAAATATCCAGCTGAGACCTAGGTCCCAGGAATCCTATCTGGATAAATGTATGTGCCTACCCCACCTATGCATGTCAACCGGGGATCATGGAGTATCACTACTATCATATTGCATTGCATCAACATGGAGTATGGAGAAGAAGGAAATAGGGTAGGTGTATTTGTTGAGTTATGTCTTGAAGGTGTGTAAAGACACGTGAACTCCACTGTTTGTCATGGCAGCCTTTCTGGTGGTGCAGAGCCTTGGGCTTGTGCAGGCAATAAACGAGTTCTTTCCAGACGTGCCCGAGATCATGCCAGAACCAAGGTGAGTGTAAAGCTCGAAACCACCACGTTTTAGAGACTCCGGGGTACTGCGAGAAATGTAGCTGCTCCGCAGGAGACACTGAAAGAGACATTGGAAGGGTGAAAGCGAACACCTCAAAGACTCGGAAGCCAGAAGCGAGCGAAGCGGTGTGTACCTTGGAATACTTGTATTTGCACGGAACTACTTCACCAAGGAACAGTTATTCACAGTCTTCATGTTGCACTGACAGTTATTCAATCCTTTGGGTTTGAGAAGTTTGAGCTCGACCCGCTGCACACTAAGGACGCAAAGTGTCACCGTGAGTCACTGCACGACCCGTTGAACCTCTCTTTGGCTGGTTTTATCAAGAAGAGCCAAACACGGAAACGGCAGGAATGCCATTCACAAAAGTACGTTGCCTCTTTTTCTTGGTATTCCAGCCAAATCTAGCATCGGCGAAGCCGACGCTCCCACAACCAAAGTGTTTTAACATTGGGCGCGCAGTTTAGCCCTGTGTAGTGGTTTCTTGGGCTCAGTTTTTTAATTGCTGCGGTCAATGCAAATCGAAGCTGTCTAGCCTCTTGAAAGCTTGACCTGCGTGCCCAACAACGACGCGACGAATGCCGGCAAACTGGCTGAATTGTTCATTGTACAGTCGTCCGTTGCAGACTGGAGTTGCAAGTGCATTGCAGTGCCGGTCAGTGCCAAGTCAGCTGCAAACAGAGTTTGCTTTCTGCTTGGTACAATAGACGGAGAATTTGATCACCTCCGCTTCTTGCGGAATGAAGGAAGCCAACCATGGTCACTGGAAGCTTCGAGCTGGAAAAGGGCGGGATGTCCGCTAGATAGTCAGGTGCTGTGCAATGGTACAATTCTTCAATTCTCCCGGGCAGTTTTTTTCTTCATGTTCTTTTGATGACAGAAGATGACAGCACAGGTCCTGCAGGGTACAAATGCAAAGCCGTTGAGATCTCAAGTTTCGCGGTTGTCACCACTGCAACGGTGATAGATATATTTGCAAATCGTTTACAGTAGGTTTCAGTTCGCACCTGCAGTGTGCTTTTGCCCATGGTGCATGTGTTTGCAGGTCGTTGACACCGCAGTGGGCAAAGCTACAGTTGCTGCAGGCAGCCTTTCTGTGAAAGGTCCAAGTGAAACAGCAAGGCAAGCGTGACACCATTCGATGAACTGTGGCTGGAGGCTTATGAAGAAGCTCTACATTTGTCGTGGCGGGGCCTTCCATCAATACAGGTGGAGACATTTGTTGCATGAAAGCTGAGTTTGCACTTCTCACGCTTCTCACCTCTCTCTCTCTCTCACACACACACTCTTTGCGAAGGCTACGAGGTATACACTAGAATGGAGAGGGCCAGGCGGGGCAATGTTCCACACGATCGGACTACACAAAGTGTAACTACAGTTCCTGCAGACCATTATGGTAACACTCTGTTTTATATACTCGCTATTTGGTGCTTGATTTTTTGTCGGTTGTATGCATTGTATTTTTAGTAGGGAGGCCCCCAACTAATTGCTTCGTCTACCATAGCCAATCAGTCGACCATCACAACACTCATGACAGATCCCCAACTCTACAACATCACTGCAATCCTTACCACCATTCGCCGGTTGTTTTACCATAACCAAGGCCAAGCTAGGGAACTTATTCAGGCAGCGACCACACATCAAGGAACTTCACAAGGTTTAGCAGGAGCCCTGAGCTCTTAACCAGGTTGGATGGACGCTCAACACCCCGAAGCAAAAGTGTCTGGACCAGGTGGTTTGCACATCAATTTATCCCTAGAACTGCAAAAAGATTCGTTTGCTTGCCAAAACCGCATGGGACTATATCCATTTGCCACCGGCATGGCCATCAAGCAAATCCTTTTGATGTCACTATCACCCGTAAATTGTGGCAACAGATCGACGATGAAAACCAATCCTGGCTACTCATGGATATCACTGCGGGATACCAAACCGCAGACCGCAGACCTTAAATCGCAGTGGTCAAGTACAACCACTCCTAAAATGTCCTTTATGCGATGCCACGGACACAAGAGCGCATCGACATTTCCACTGTCCAGCAACCAACCCCATCCGATCACAACACCCAGAAGCCATTCAGGCATTACAGAATAAGCCAGATAGACTGTACATGCCACTCCCGGCACAACATTGAGACCAGACCCTCATTTCCGAATTTCCTTTGGTATGCGTCTTCGAGGCGAACTACCAAACTCAACGAACCCTATCCAAGTGTCCTTGCTAGTGTGCTTTTACACGGATGGCTCCTGTTCTGATGCAACATATCACCATACTAAACGAGCCGCATGGGCAGTCGTGCAATATCTAGGACAGCCTAATCAAGAGCCAACAGCTGACCAGTTCCAGGTTGTACAAGCCGCACATCTACAAGGCCGGCAACCATCTCTAGAGCAGAACTCTATGCTGTCACATGGATCGTTGAAATCCTATCTAAATCGGGTAATACCAGTATTGTGCATATCTACACTGACTCCCAATATGTGATGAACCTTATTCACTACATCGAATATAATCTACTCACCAAGGTCAAGCTCAATATAGCCCATGCTGACCTGGTCCAGAGACTCCTAGAACATTGGGACACGCCTTATCTTCGGATACATAAGGTCAAATCTCACAGAAACATCACCCAAGCACGCGCATATCCAAGGCAACAATTTTGCCGATCAGGCAGCAGTGAAAGCACATGCCACGGGTTGTCCAGAATTCTCCCATACCATCACTACAATCCAGACAATATCACACAATGATCGAGAATACTCTGAAATCCTCGCCGTGTGGAAATTTCTGATTGACATCAATCGTGCATATGTCAAAATCCAAAATGCAAATCAAACCAAAAAGACCAGCGACGCCACAGTCGCCCTAACATACGCCAAAGTAACCAACCATTTAGCTAACTGGCGCCCCGCGTCGGCAGACTACCTATCACTTCAGCCACCTCATCCGATGGTTTTTAAGACATGTATCTGGGGCCGAATTTTGGCTAACGCAGTATAGCAATAGATGTCAACATTGAAGTGGATTCCGGTGCATTCCCCAGCCACGCCGGCGGACAAAGGTATCAGTTGGTATAAACTCACCATCTCCTTTCTATGCTATACGGGTATAGACCTACTCATTCGTCCACCACATGGCAAAGGATATATAGAGGCCATCCCGACCAAAGATCTCCGTATCCAGCCATCTCTCATCGAAGCTTTGGTGCATTCTAGATTGTGCAAAGGCACTGCTATGTGCTGCTACAGCTGCCTTTGGTGCATCCACTACCACCTAATAAACGAGCTCTTCGGCAACAAGCAGAGATTTTTCGTTTAGTACTACAACACCTGGAAACTTTCTCCAAACAACACCTAGTACCAAGATACAAAAGTCCGGGGCCAAGAGTATGGCCACATTGGGGTTCGATAATACCATCAAGGCAGGGGTGTCAAGCCGTCCGATACTGCCCAACGCAGATAAGACAATGTTGGCAGTGACCAACTACCAACTAGATCAGAAACACGACCCACCATTCTCCACTGATCACCCCTTGAAACTTGAAGACTTCACCCCAATGGTCACTTACCAAGAGCTCCAAGAGATAAAATTTTAAGGCACGGTGCACTCTGAAAGATCGAGCCTACAAGTTATATAATTAAAATTCCCCAAGACTGCTGGCCTCAGACGAGTAGTTGTCCCACTACTCATTTCAAGCAAAAGAACACATATTCCATGTACTGTTTGTGCCACCTACAGGGACACAAAACCTTTTGGAAAACATGTTTGGATTGGCTGTTTTCCAAACTCTTGGTCAGCTGTGGCCTTCAGATCTCCTTTCTCAGGGATCTTGGCCTTTGCGTCCACAGGCGGTGTAGATGGGTTTGATGCTTGCCCTTGAGCCTTCCAAGTCACTTGTTTAAACGCTTCAACCTTCAATCTACACTAGGACCCACATGATAAGAATGAGGTTATCAGTTATCAGAAGACGATATTCCATGTATTGCTATCGCCAGCTATGGCGCATGTTGTCATTTGGCTGTCTCTTCAACTATGGGCCTCGGGTGCATCATGTCCTTGTGCAGCAGGAGGGGTTGACCCATGGCCATAGAAGTCCACCCATTTGACTGGCGCTTCTGCCGGCAATCTCATGTGGGCATACTGCGAGGTGGAAGACGGGATGAGAATAGGGGCGGAGCCTCGTCTGTACACGCGGAATTTCCCTCGAATATACACGCGGAGAATTGATCTCGTTTGTACACGCGAAACTCGTTTGTGCACGCGGCTCCCTCGTCTGTACACGCGGCTTACACGGCTGAAAAAATGAATGAATGAATGAATGAATGAATGAACGAATGAATGAATGAATGAATGAACCTGTGGACGTGAACCTGTGGAAGCAATGAGCAAAAAGAGATCATCATGTAGATGAATGTCCAGAGGGACGTTATTAACACATCATCAATCAAACGAAGCAATGAGCAAAAAGAGATCATCATGACTGAATTGGTGTGTGCGCAAATGAGGCGAATCATGTGTGCGCATTTGAGTTTGGGGTAACATGGGCTGTTTAAAGAGGAATGTAATCGATGTGTGCGCAGATGAGGCGAATCATGTGTGCGCACTTGAGTTAAATATCTAAAAAAGTCTGTGTGCGGATTTGAGGGGAATTATGTGTGCGGAAATGAGGCGCCATCCATGAGAATATCGTAGTGACCACAGCTCTTCTTGCCAGTAGACTCATCGCGCAAAAAGCGGGACACTAAGTGCCCTGCCACCTGAGATGCTGAACCATCTCCATAGAGGCAATCACGCGGATAGTTGCCATATTCACTGGGAACCTGCTCCATATGTCATGGTGACATACTAAATTCCTTTCAATTGGAACCATTAGAAGCTCTCGAACAGATGGCAATGCTCAAAACTCAGAAATAGCATGGGTGTGAGATACATAGAATTTATTCAACACAAAAAACATACAAAACCCTACCTCTCCTTACTCTTTGACCCGATATGTTTGGGCTACTGTTTGGGCTTTGTAGTTGTTAGAGTTTTGTATTCCATGTGCTAGATCTCCCAACTACACCAATTGAAGATGAAGCGCCACGCCTCATCAGCAATGGTGATTCGGAATGTCGACTGGCTCAAGCAGCAAATGTAATGGGCCAGTTCCAAGCCGACTTCATTTCCCTCAGCCATCTCCTTTGCCTCTGGCTTGTCTGTGCCACCACACAAAGCAAGAAGCTCCGATCGAAGTGCTTTGGCCATGCTGATCTCATCTGCTAACCGCTCTTTGGATGTAGGCGCCCCATTTCTGCCTCGGCTCACGTTTTTGTAGTCTTTCCACAAAGAGCAGCGTAAGAAGCAATGGTAGAAGCACAGGCCGTCTCCAAGAACAGGCAACCTTTGAAAGGAGACCAAATGTGCAGAAGCCTCTTTCTCCTTCTTGTCCAAATGTTTGTTGAAAACTCCACGCACCAATGATTCAAATTTGGATGCAAATGTCGCCTGAGGAACAAGGTCATGGACTAAGAACTGTTCATTTTCCACCCGTCGAAGGATGAAACCAAGCTCAACTTCCTTGATCTGAGCAGATGTCCCTTTGTGGCTAAGCTGCCAACAGCCCACAGCACCAATTTTTTCAGGGTACGACGCCACGATGGCCAAGACTGTATTGTTTTTGGCTAATGCCTCCAGCTGTGTTTTGTCTTGGTCAGAAAGCTTGGGCTTCTCTTTGGTGTGGACGCACCGCACAAACCCAAGATGTGTCAACTTGCAATCTGCAGCAATTTTATCAAGGTGCTCTTGAGCATTGTCAATGCCAGTGTGGGTAAGGACGCGGACGGCTCTCCAACCAAGAGTCCGATGTTCCCACCCCAGAATTTCCCCTCGCAATTCGCGCTCGTAGCCAAGCTCCCGAAGCTTGTCCATCGAGTTCTTGGGGAATCGGATGCTAGAGCAAGGTAGGCTTGGTTCTGCTTTTTTCTGGCTTTGTCCAAAGAAGTTGGCCCAGATGTCCTTACCCTCCTGTGGGTTCTTGGCAAAGGACTTGGAGTCTTCTGGCTGGAAAGCTTTGTCAGCTGCGATGATTTTCTCGTATGCTTCCTGTGTTGCCTTGCGGTTGGCCTCAGCTTGTCTCATCGTTGCAAAGTGAGCTTTGAGCAGCCCCTTGGACTCCAGCGCCTTGAGGATGTCGACCCAATGCTTTGCATCATCAGAAGTCTTGAACTCCGTTACCAGACTTTGATCACCAATCTTGACACAAGCCTGAAAAACCGACTTGGAAGCATTCCATGTCACTCCTTCCTTGATTTCAGTCGATTTGGGCACATCATGTGCCCCGATGTGCTTC